GACGGCCGGGCTCCTGGGGCTTTTTCTGATATGGCCAGAGTGCTAAAGTCACCGAGATCTGGAGGACAGGTGGGCGCTGTGAGGGCATGTGATCACATTGGATCTTGTGCCTGCCCATGCCAGTGAGAAGCCACGTTATCTGTGGCCTGTGATAGAAAAGCATAAAGCATCTTTATTACCGAGGCTTCCGATGGAAGCAAGGAAATGCACAGGTGGACTTATGGACTGCAGGCCTCTGTCTTTGCCTGATGAAATCACGCCTCTTTTCCTCAGGAAAGGACAGGTGTCCCACACTCTTTAAAGGTTTGCATTATGCCACTCTGCTACTACAAAGTGCTACTTGTCTTTTATTAACTGAAGGAAATCGGAAGATTTTCGCTTTTACAAAATAAAGTCAAAAAGCAAAAATGGCATTCAGCATTTGTTCTGCAGCAAGCTGTTACAGAGGCTGCCCAGATCCGGAGAGCCCAGAGCCACGCTCCTTCCCTAGAGACTGTGCTCAGCGTCTCAGCGTCAAGCCGCCACAGCTCTGAACTGTATCTGTGAGTAGCTGTGCTCTATCTCGATTTTCTTGGTGTATCCATTAGCAAGATGTGTCCTAAGGTGTCAGAAAAGCCTAAAGGAGGTGATTTTTTGGGGGTCTGGGAACGCTCAACAAGTTTTCTATGTAATTAATGGTTGTTTCTTTGCTTTACACCGTTTCACTCATGAAGGGTTCCATAACAACACGCTACTTTCAGATAGCAAGGAGGGAGGCCTGAAGCGGCCTTTGAGATGGACAGTTAGACCTTCTCTTTTGGAGTTCCATCACCCGATGGGCCCAGCTCCTGGAGCTGTTGTGTGTGCTTACCTCTTCCCACCCCGACACTCAGCTTCCCGGGGTGGGACCATGGGTTTATGCATTTCCATAAATCCTGGCTATGTTGAGCTTAGGGCATCAAAATGGGGTGAGATTGGTGAGATGTGGTGGGATTTAGTGTAGCTGTTGATCGTTGTACAGATTCCTCCCCACAAGAAAGGATGACCTAATCTTCAGGTAACACTTTCAAAACCTCTGTGGCAACTTTCTGCGTAAACCCCAGCAGCAAGAAGTCCGTAACAACCCACCATTGTGGGAATTTGAACGGTTGGATTAGGTTTACACAGATGCGTGTTCTTTCGTCTCCCTGTTGGTTGAATGACCACCTTTGGGGTTTCAGCATGAATAGAAATAGTGGCATAATGTGTACAAAATTCTGACAGTTGATGCCACTCGGAGAATATAGTTTTATGCTACTTCTAGGGAGATGGAAAGGATATTCCTTAAACTTGAACCCAGGACATGGCAAATATCTCATTTTCAGCTACCCTGCTGGAAAGTAGAAACCTGCTTCTTGGAGACCCGTGTCTTCTCTGGGCCGTCCGCCCCGGGCCTCCCAGTGGCATTTGGCTGCATTGTTTTTCCAGCGTCTTCCAAGGGAACTGAGTTTGCCCTCCCCCCCCACCCCCCGATGGCAGATAGTACTTCAGCAGTAACCAAGACACGAGCATCACTTGTATGCCAACTGCACTGCAGTAGTAAAAACTAAATAAGAAAAAAAAAAAAAAAAAAAGAAAAGTAACCAAGGTAAAAATAGTGGGAAGTCTCCTGTCACAAGTCCATTCTGTGCTCCCCACGCCGTGGTTCACAGAGCAGTTCCCCTGGGGCTGCTGGGGGCAAGGAAGGGGCCCAGAACTGTCCCTAGAGAAGAGAGCTGCTGTGTGCCCATTTAGGAGAATTGAATTGCGCCTGTCTAGTCACGTTTTGTACTCAACGAAGACTTCCCTTTCCACATTACGCTTGAAAATCAGTATCTGTATCTAGTTATGCAATCCAGTAAACTGCCCCCTTAAGTCGAAGAGGGTACTGCACCCCCAGCATTAGGAAGTGAGTTCCTTGAGCAGGTTTTTGGCTGACAGGCACGTGCCCACCCGCTGCTGGTGGTTCATGGGCATTTGTGCTCCCCCTACCCCCACAGCTCTGCACGTCCTGGGGGCTCGTTTCGGCCTGGCACGATCATGGCACTCTCGTTTGCCTTCTGTTCTGAGGAAGCTCAGAAGTGTGTCTCCAGCATATGTCTGGGCTCCAGTAGCTTTTGCTTCTGCTCCAGACAGCAGTGGACTTTGGAGAAAGGAGTATAAATTATGGACCAGCCCTTCCAGAGCCCAAGACAGAATGGGTCTTGTCTTTTAGAGGATGGCAGATGGCTCATCCCACCTAACCTCCTGCCCCCCCCACCCCCACTCTGTGAAAGCCCAGGAAAGAGGATGCTATTTAATTGCCCTGTCTTTGCCTTGCACTGGCTTTTATTGTTTGGGGGGTGGGGTGTACTTACTTTAGGCAGAGGACTTGTAGGAGGGGCAGTAGGCACTCTCTAAAGGTCAGTGGCATTTACCAGTCAGGTCAAAACCGGGTGCGTCATAAGGAGCTTCCCCACTCCGCTTCTCTTCCCTATGAGATTCCTGTCTACCTACAACACTCCCTCCTTGCCCAAAAGGATGTCCAGGAGTGATTTTACAGGGATTCTGCACATCCCCTAGTGCAGCCTCTTCTGCCAAGGGTTGTGTTGAAATGTGGCCTCTTTAACTCCTTATTCAAGCCATTGTTTCCTGAGAGTTTTGTTGGGATTTACAATCTGACTTGAATAAATCCAGTTAATCCCCTAAGGAAGAAATGGAGAAAAGAAAAGACAGTTCCAGGAGGAATTACACCCTGGGCTCTCTCACCAGTGCTGGGTCCTTCCCTAGGCTCCTGGGCCCCAGCAGGTCTTGACTCTCTGGGAAAACTGCTTGCCCCAGGTATCCCTCACAACCTTGCCAGGGTGCCTCGGAAGCAGGCCAGCATGTGGTCTGCTGGGCTCTGTGCTTGTTCCTCCCTTGCTCACAACACCTGCTCTTTTCTGCTCCTGTCACACCCTTGTGTCTGGGGTCTTCCTGCTGCACTACACTCCACAAATAATGTCGTCTTTCCTCATTTCCTTCCCACTTCCTCCCCACCTTACAGCACAGTGATATCATTTCCTTCCCACCTGGAATGCCAGGGCCCTCGATGAGCACTGGGGCTCAGTGCCTTCCAACCTCCATGACCTGGTTTGACCCTTGGCTCTCAGAGTTATTTTTCCTCGTCTTTATAATGAGATCAGAACATATGACTGTTATTCCTAGCTGAAAACTTATGGGTCTTGAAGAAGCTTTTTTTTTTTTTTTCTTTCTTCTCTTGGCCAGTCAGATGAAATAGAGAGAGGCCTGTTCCCATTCTTGTGTGACCACATGGAGTGCCATGGCCAGGGGCTGGGGGTGGGGGGTGGTGCCAGACCACTCTGCGCCCAGTGGCTAAGGCCACAGGTGTAGGCGGGCAGTCGGGTTGTGGGTGGTTAGGTATGGACTTTGCTAGATCTGTCAGTCGCCAATTAGATTATTATGTTTTCTGGTGTCTGGATTGTAGCAAGGTGAGGTCAGTACCCATCCATGGATGATCAAGATGAAAAAGCAATGATGTTTTTTTCCACCTCAGTAGCTAGATAGCTTCTCTCTGCATAAGCTATTTTTTTTAAATAAACTCTTTAGTTCAGCACAGTTTTAGATTTATAGGAAAATTGTGGCGCTAGTACTGAGTTCCCATACTCTTCACACCAGCTTCCTCCATTGCTAGCACCCTACATTAGCGTGTGGCCCCGATCTAACTAATACCCCTACTTTATTTAGATTTCTGTAGTTTTTCCCGAGATCCTTTTTCTGTTCCAGGACCCCATCCAGGATCCCACATGACATTCAGTGGTCATGTCTCCCCAGGCTCCTCTTGCTTGTGACAGTTTCTCGGACTTCCCTTGTTCCTATGGTCCTGATGGTTTTGAAGAGCACTGGTTAGGTGTTTTATAGGATGTTCTCCATCTGCCATTTGTCTGATATTTTTCTCATGGTTAGATGGTTTGGGGAGGAAGATCACAGAGGTCAAGTGCCCTTCTTGGCACATCCCATAATCAAATGTTTGTCGTGGTTGACCGTGGCCCCCTGGTCTAGGCAGTGTAGGTAGAAACCTAGTTAGGTTTCTGCACTCTTTTCTGCCCTTTTCAGACTGGCCTCTGTGGAAAGACGTCACTTGTGCAGGCTACTTGAGGCTGGGAACCTCTGTTCCATGTCTCTGAGGATGGGCGCTGGCATCCTGCCCCCCTTGGGAAGAGCTGCCCAGGCAGGATTGGCCTGTGTGTTAGCAGACTGGGAGTGGTATGTTGGCACAGGGTGCGGTCCGTGGTCTGCACTCATCCTGGGACCTGCGCTTGGCTTGTTCCTGGTGACACGGGTTGGCTGACAGCGGCCATTGGGGAATGTGTGCCCTCTTGTGATTCGTGCTCAGAAGTGGATCCTCTAGCACATTCTCCTAACATTTTAGTCCAGAAGAAAAGGAGGAATAACAGTTACTCCTAACTTACAATAATTCAGCATTTTTTCTGTTCTGGACCTAACTGTGTTGACCTGGTTCTTGCTCTCAGGGGATCCAAGGAAGGTCTAAAAAAGCAGATGCCATTGCTATTCAAGGCATCTGGGTTTTAATAATTAAAATATGGTTGGATTTGTCTTCCATAACCTCATATTTGGAATAACATCTTGCTTTTCCAGGGGAATTGCGTGATTATTGAGGACAGGAATGATGTCATTAATTTGTGTTTCTCATACTGTGCAATTTCTGCCTATAGAAGGCTCTCCCTTAAGAGCTGCAATAAATGTGGAAGTTCAGAGACCTCAGAGTCAAGGTCGCTGGAGGAATTGGCCTCCTGGGCATTTCTGTCCATGCTGGTTAGGCCTGAGACGGGTAGAAGTCATAGGTGGATGTTGTGATGACCAGTTGTGGAATTCAGAGATGTAAAATATTTTAGCCATCAGTGATGATAGAGGACATGGTGGCTGTCTGTGTTGCAATAGGAGGAGGTTAATGCGTGGGATAAAAGGCAATAATAAACGCTTACATTCTTTTTCTCTAGCAGAATTGAACAACACGATGGGGTGCAAAGTTCTGCTTAACATCGGGCATCAGATGCTGCGGAGGAAGGTGGTGGACTGCAGCCGGGAGGAGAGCCGGCTGTCCCGTTGCTTGAACACTTTCGACCTGGTGGCGCTGGGGGTGGGCAGCACGCTGGGTGCCGGTGTGTATGTCCTGGCCGGAGCTGTGGCCCGTGAGGACGCGGGCCCCTCCATTGTCATCTCCTTCCTGATCGCAGCGCTGGCCTCAGTGCTGGCCGGCCTCTGCTACGGCGAGTTTGGTGCTCGAGTCCCCAAGACAGGTTCGGCCTACCTCTACAGCTACGTCACCGTCGGGGAGCTCTGGGCCTTCATCACTGGTTGGAACTTAATCCTCTCCTACATCATCGGTATGTCCCAGGAGGCCTGGAGCCTGCGCCCTTACCCCTCTGCTGTTCTCACCTCCAGACCACAGCCATGCTTTCCTCTGCTCCCTGAGTGGACCAAGACTAGCTCCTCTCTATGACTGTCCTCCTCCCTTAACTGTGGTACATGCTTCCTTTCCCTTTTGTGGGGGGGCCTGCCTCGAGGGTATCGCTCCTCCTGGTCTGTGCATCGGACTGTTAGTAGAGATGAGCCAGGCCAGCAAGGAGGTCAGTGCTGTGAACACAAGAGATGGAAATTCAGTGGGATGTCTTTACTGCTTAAAAGGAGTGTAGTCCCTTTCAGTATTTTTGATTATTGATTACTAGAGTAAACATATCACTGATAAAGAAAAATTTAGGAAATACAGAAAAACGCAACACAGGAAGTAGACATTGCCGAATCTGACAACCGAGAGAAATTAATTGTTATTCATTCACTCATTCTTTCAGCAGCTATTTCTTGAGCCCCTCCTCTGTGCCAGGCATTATGCTGGATATTAGGAACACCATGGAAGGAGAAGACAATCTCTATTCAGAAGAGTTTAGGGATCTATTAATATTTTTGTCAACTTAAATGTATATTTTTTGTCCAGTATGTCTCTATAAAACAACATATAATAAACATTTCTCATGGTATTAGTGGTTTTTCCATAGTAATATTCCAACTGATTGCATATCATTATGTAGTTTTATATATGTAACATAATTTTTTAGGTGTTCTCCTAGAGTACTTAGATTGTTTCCAGTTGTGTAATTATTGTTATAATTAACAATAATATACAACAATATATAATATTGTATATAATACATACATATATATGTATATATTATATATACAACAATATATAATAGTTTAATGTCATTTAATGTCTTTGGGCATGGCCATGGTTTTTTTCCTTTAAAATATTCTAAGAAGCAGAATGTGTAGGTCAGTGGGCCTGCGTCTTTTAAGGCCCATGTTGCCTGTGATCCTCCAGACAGCCACAGGCTCTCTTCCTCACATTCTCGCTGACCCTGAGCACCAGCATTAAAAACAACCAACAAACAAAAACACTCAAAATACAAAGTCTTCTTAGTATGGTAGGTGCGAAGATATTGTTTCTCTTGATGTTGTTTGTATTTTGGTTACAACCAAGTTTGAACACATCTTAAAAGACTTAAAAGAGACAAACTTAAAAGAGACAAACACCTGAATATAAGAATAAGCAAAGGATATGAATGGCCAATTCCTACAAGTAGAAGTATAAACAGGCTCTAAACATTGCATTTATATTTCAGCACACTTTTTGTAATATTTTCAAAACACAGTAAGACGTGGTAAGTGGATCCCAGTAGGCTCCTGTGCTCCCCACACTGGGAATGGTGTAAGGGGCTATGTGCTGCCTGCTGTGATGCGGGGCCCCGGGGCTATGTGGGCCTCCTGCTGCCACTTGCCCAGGCCAGCTGGCAGAGGGCTCCTGCCAAGCTCTCTGAGCAGCACCTTCCCTCTCTTTTCTGGAGCTCGTGGTACCTAATGACAGCCAGCATAGCTTATGCTTCTAAGTTTGAAAATAAAATTCATAATTTTTTTTTTCAGTAAAGCACTAAAATTTATAATCACAAATGCTCATGAAAGCTCAAGTGTCTGAGTGGGAATGTATCTGTTTTAAATGGGCTGTTATGTTCCCTACGGATTTACCTGGGCATAAAACAAAACCTGAGCAGGAATCGCCCTCTGCTTCTATACCAACAAAGGAAAGACTCTTTGCCAGCGTGCTGTTTGCTTGTGTGAAACTGACTCATGCATGTGTTACTGTGGGTAATTCTCAGCCTCAGCTTTTGGGAAGGGTAGTTTTTCTCAGCAAAAGTGGGTTTTTTTAAAGCTATGTTTCAAAGATGGGGAGTGAGGGAGGCCAGGAAGGAAGGCCGGGTAGCCCCTCTCACCCCTCATGGTAGGTTTCAGAGCCTGATCAGCTGTGAGCCGGCCTCTGTTGGGGAGAGGGGGAGACCATTCTTTCCACTGGGCTGGCGATGAGCAGAACTCATAACATCCTGGATGCTGAGGATGAAGACACCTGGTTAAATTTTTGAGTTGTCAGACACACACTCAGTAGGAGACCCACTAGCAACATTGAATCTCGTTCCCCCAGCCATATTCTGTGGGTGATCTAGACCACAGTCACCAGCGAGGTCCCTTTTGGAAGGAAAGGAAAGTGCTATATGTGAATATTGGAAGTGTAATGACATTTCCTTGAAAAGCAGTGATTTGATTCAGGTTGAAAGAGCATGCAGTCAACAGTTGTTGGCATTTGGGGTGCTGTGTCCGTTTGTGATCCTCAGGGCAGGGACTGTGGGATGGAGAGGAGGAAGGCTGGGCTGTGGCTGTGGTCAGACACTTGGGGACCTGTGGGCAGGTAGTGGGAGCCCAGGTTTGGGCACAGAGCAGCAGAGGGGGCCGGCGCCAGCTCTGGGGTGAGCAGGTGACTGTTGCTGAGGAGGATGGTCAGCACACGTGGATCTCCTTGTTCCATTCTTACTGGGAGAACAGCATTCCCTGGTGGGTGGGGACCCTCAGCTCTGCTGTCAGGAGGGTCTTGGAAGAGAAGCTTCCAGAGCCAGATGTCTCAAGCTGCCCACCATAGCCCCTGAGTAGATCATGAAATCAGCTTCGTGGTTTGCCACCAGTATTTCTTTGAATAATGAAATAAAATAAGTAGAGTTGAATAAATACCACCAATGTGTTCCTCAGGTGGTAAGAGTAATTTAGCACTGTTCTTCGAACTATTGATTATTCAGTTGTATATTGGAAACACAGTACCCGTGAACATACTGGGTTGTGGTGGGAAGTGTGTTTCTCTCCAGGCCTGTGAGGCTTCCCCAGCCCCATCACTTTGCTGCAGGCACTAACTGAGCCTCACTTCTGAGCTAGCACAGACCGGGGTCTGCCTGCCACCCCCGGGTCCCAGCGCATCATCCATGACCCCTGGCATGGTAGCTGTGAAGTGGAGCCTGATGACAAATGCTGTTCATTGTTTTCCGTCAATTTCCTCCGGTGCATCTGTTTCATGACAGGTACTTCAAGTGTAGCGAGAGCCTGGAGTGCAACGTTTGACGAGCTGATTGGCAAACCCATCGGGGAGTTCTCACGGACGCACATGGCTCTGAACGCCCCTGGAGTGCTGGCCGAAAACCCAGACATATTTGCTGTGATCATCATTCTCATCTTAACAGGTAAAGCCACAGAGTGGGACATGTCGGTTGGGGTAAGGGGCCTGAGGTGCAGGGCAGACTCCCATGAGGCCCCTTTCTAACTTTTCCTCACCCTCCTTTCCCCTCCTCTTGTTTCTTTCTGTGGCGAATGCAGGCATCTTGTTGGTCTTAGCAGCTTCTTGTACACACAGGGTGGACTCACTGACTAGCTGTCGAAGCTGCTTGTCATTTAATTAAAAAAAAATATCAGGTGTTTGTGTAGCTGTTTGTAGAGTGGGATTTTGTTAGTATGGTGGGCTTTATTGTATAAATGACCCAGGAATTCCCCCTGACTTAGTGGAAAGCATTTGTAAAGGGAAGTGGCGTTCTTCCTCGGGGAACAGAAAGAGGAAGAGGTCGGTCTGGGCACCAGTGTGCGCCTTGGATGCTCGAGAAGTCTCGGATGGTTTTACACCTAACAGCCAACAAAATGCCCATTAAAGAAATGTTTCACGGGACGTCGGGGTAGCTTGGCTGGTTGAGCGTCTGCCTTCTGCTCAGGTTATGATCCCAGGGTCCTGGGATCGAGTTCCGCACCGGGCTCCCTATTTGGCAGCGAACCTGCGTCTGCGTCTGTGTCTGCCTGTGCTCCCTGCTTGTGTGTTCTCTCTCTCTCTGTGTGTGTGTGTCAAATAAATGAGTAAAATCTTTTAAAAAATATATTAATGACAGAGTCACGGGTACAGAATTTTAAAATTCCAGATAGCACTTGAAGATGACTGAAGGCAGCTTCCTCTTAGTGATGTTTATCCGTGTCCTGGCCTCGAGGATGGGAGTTTTGTTCCTTGTGGCACTTAACTGTATAAGCATTAAGCTGAATGCAGATAAATCCCCCTTTGAGACTGGAAGATCTTGGATGGGTTCTAAAAACAACATGCCTTATTTTACGCACCATGTAATTGAAATCATCTTGCATAGGACAGTCTCAGCAGTATTTCTGGTCCAGCTGGCAGGAACGTGTATCAGAAATTAAGTTTGCACTGGGATATTTTCATAAACACGAGAGGGAGGGATGCCAGAGAGAAACAGAGCGCAGCACGAGGAGGTGTTCCCTGTGATGAATTGCTCACTTCCCTTCTAGCACCTTCATTTCAGAATCGAATCTTCTATTGTGAAATGCATTTTTTTATTTTAAGTTTATAAAAGGTGCGCATGGCAGGGCAGCAGTCTCAAGTCATAAGTGGTGGTCACCTGTCACTTGGACACCTTTCCATGTCTCTTCCCCAGCCAGGAGTTTAGCCACAGAAGTCCCCAAATGGTGTGTCATCATGTAGCCTAAGCCTCTGAAACAGTGTTGTCATGTGGTTTCCATGTGTTTTTATCACTTGGATCTTTTTAGGTTTTTTTATGTGAGTTTATGATCCATCCGTAACTCGTCTAGCTTAGACATTGTTTTACGTGCACTGAGTCTGATGACGAACCTTATGGTTTGTGGTGCCGTAATCACAGAAAGTTGCCATTGCTCATACTGCTAACGTTGCACGGTGAATCTGAATAATTTTCATATCCGAAAAACCCTGATTCTACCAACAAACTCAACCAGATGTCTCCTCCTTGGAGAAAAAAAAAATCCCGCTGTGCCCTCAGGGGAGTCCCAGGAAGTTATGTCAGTGAGTGGAGAGGGTGCCAGGAGAGGGCCTTCTCTTCATCCCTGGGAGGGGCTTGTGCTCCAGGGGGGTGGGATGTGGTGTTCCCCATCGCTGCAGTCCTTGGGTGCCTGCCGGGTGGCATCCTCAGCTCCAGAGGGGGCCTGCGAGACCAACTTTGATGCCTTGGTGAACCACTGTGTGGACTTTGGTTAGTTTGATCCCTGCCTCTAGAAAGATGATTAATTCAGCCCCATTCCCAGAGGCTCCCAGAAATCTTAGGAGGTTTGGTGTCGCTTGGATTCTTCTTAACTCACCCTCTCGTCCCATCCCTGTCCCTGTCCCAGGAAGGACTCCTCAGGCACAGAGTTCACACCATCAGGCAAAATTTTCTTGTTTATGTGCTTTTTCAGGACTTTTAACTCTCGGTGTGAAAGAGTCGGCCATGGTCAACAAAATATTCACTTGTGTCAATGTTCTGGTCTTGGGCTTCATAATGGTGTCAGGATTTGTGAAAGGATCGATTAAAAACTGGCAGCTCACAGAGGAGGATTTCCAGAACACATCCAGTCATCGCTGCTTGAGCAAGTGAGTTGTTTCTCCTTCCTCTCGACATGTGACCATTGATTCGTACTTGGTACTTAAACAGACACGCACATTGGGGGCATGTAATTGGCCAGAACACTACATGCCTTTTTAAAAAAAAGTAATTTGAATTTGAATTAATTTTTTTTGTGCAGTAAAATAGCCGAGGGTGTTTCTTTGGTTTGAAATTTTGTCGAGTTTCATTTCCCTGAACTCGTAGTCTGATAAAGGAAGGTATTCAGGAAAACAAAATCTTCATTCTAATTCTGAAATTGTACACAGTTGAAGATCATTGTCAGACTCACTAAGTCATCTGTTCCTCAAATTCCTTTCTTGACCAACCTCTGAATTTGGTTTCAGAAAAGCTTTTCTCTGCAAAGCCATGGTGCTATCCCTTGATTATGATTCCTTCCTATTAATGACATAGAAGAAGAAACCTGGAGGACTCTGATCACGGGCTTTTATCAGAGGTTTTCAGAATTACTGACGTATGAAAATGTGATTATAATAGTCTTTCTCCCACACTCAACTTGGGGTGTGTCAGCCTTTTGAAAACCAGTGGCCCCAACACCCTTATATTCTCTGACTCAGGATAACCAGGATGAGGGGCAGGTGACAGGCCAGCTCTTAGACCTGTGCTTTTTTAGGACCCTCAGGGAAGCCTCATCGACAAACTCCGACTATCTAGAAAATAAGAGCCAAGCAAATTAGGATGTATCTTTTGGATCTTTTTAGGTCAGATTTTTCAGGGGAATCTTAGGGTGGGTCCTAGGATAGAGAATGGGGTGTGAGATTTTTGTCTACGATTCTGTTGTAATTACAACCAAGGGTTACACAGCTCTGATAAGGAGACCCTCCTAAAATGCAGTGTCTTTAAAATGATGTCTCAGCCCCTGACATGAGTGGCCCGGGTTGACTGGCCCATGAGGCTGCACACAGGCTTGCAGGGATCCGCCAGGTTGCTCCATCCTACCCTAGGATGGGGTCCTCCTCTGTGTGGTCAGAGCTGGGCTCTCCTCGGAGGGAAAGAGGGTATGAGAGAGAGTGTGCCCATGCTTTGGAGGGCAGATCCGGAAGACACAGGTATGTCCCTTCTGCCAAATTTCCGCTGGTGAGAATCCAGTAGGTGGCCACATCTAGCTGCAAGGGAGACTGAGAAATGAGGTCGTCCCACCCTGGGGATCTGAGCGGTCACATGTGAACTTGGTCTCTGGTTCAGGCCCAGCTGTATCTTCCAGTGATCTGGTCACTGGACAGGCAGGCATTGATGTGTGACGAGTTCACTACTAGAACACAAGCAGGAAACTGTTGAATGCATGACATATTATATGGTTAACAGTTCAAATAAAAAAGAGACTTCCTTTTGGAGACTAAATGACTACAGAGAAATGAGGATTTAAATTTTTTTTTTTAAAGATTTTATTTATTTATTTGACAGAGAGAGAGGTCACAAGGAGGCAGAGAGGCAGGCAGAGAGAGAGGGGGAAGCAGGCTTCCCGCTAAGCAAGAGATCCCAATGCGGGGCTTGATCGCAGGACCCTGAGATCATGACCTGAGCCGGAGGCAGAGGCTTAACCCACTGAGCCACCAAGGCACCCCTTTAAATTTTCTTTTTAAAAGTAAGTTCTATGTCCAAGTGGGGCTAGAACTCCCAACCCTAAGATCAAGGGTCACATGCTGTACTGACTGAGCCAGCTGGGCCCCGCTGAGAAATGAGGATTTTTAATGTAGCATTCCTAAGCTTTCCTGAATCCTATGTATGCCAGATTTATTGGTGCTCAGTATCTCAGGGTAGAATAAAGCCAGTTCAAACTAAGCTTGGGAGTAACAGTAGATTTTGAAAACTTGGGACGACTCTCTTGCTGGTGATGGTTCACAGGTCAGGAATTAAATCTAGATAGCGTGTTTTTTTCCTGGTGGTCGATAGAGATTGAATATTATTGTTTTCATGAAGAGCTTGCTTGTGCCCGCTGATAGTCTTTCCTGTCTTGGGTTGTCCTTGCACTCTGGGTCCCAGTGATGAAGGACTGTGCTGTCCCCAGCCCCCAGAGCACTGCCCTGAGGTAGAAGGCTGCCGGTCTGGGGCACAGCTTGTTCTTTGATTTTGTCAAAACCAGAAACTTCTTTCTTCCCCTTTTTTGCAGCCGTAGATTAGTATTTCCGAGCATGGCCATGTAGTCTTGCATGAAATTGCTTGTCTCTCTGAAATAATAGGGCATTTCCCAGCCAAACCATGCAGCGTGGAGAGCTTCAGCCACAGTTGGTGGCCATTCTCACCCCACCGGGTTGTGATTTTGTGATCTGGTCTCCATGACTTGGCTGTGGACGCCCCCATGAACCTGGAGTCTGTCTGTGGCTTGGTCTGGACTGGGAATATGCCCCGACAGCCTGGTGGGTTCCCTGCGGCCTTCATCTCCTGCTACTTCTGGCTTTCTTAGCCAGAGTCCCGCAGATGGGCCAGAAATGTAGCAGTGTAAAGCACAGCGCGACTTGGAACCCTGCTGGGAAGGTTTTGTTGCATATGGTTTCTTGTCAGGGAGGATGGAAACCCAAAAATAACATTGGCTTCCACGAGATAAAGGTTTTGTTCTTTTAAGTCAACATCTGCAGGTGGTCAGTCCAGCGTATGGCTTCGGTGGGCCGGAAATCCAGTTCTTCCGTCTGATGGCTCTGTCCATGGCGCACATTCCCAACGTCACTCCAGGGTCCAAGATGGCGCCCAGCAGCAGGAAGGAAATGAGAAAAGGAGAGGGGCAGCCTCCCTCTCCACTTCATTTCCCTGATGTTTCTCAGGAGATGTGTACCTCGTGTCTGCTTAAATTGAGGGGCCACAGCTCACAGCTGGAGTCGGAGAAACACACTGTCTTTATTCTTAGTGTTCCTGTGTCTAGCTAAAATAATTAAGTTCTATTACTGTGAGGAAGAAGGGGGTATGGCTTTTGGGAACAACTAGCAGTGTATGTCAGGGTGGCAGATGGAAGTCAGAAGAACAGAATCTTAGCATAGGATGCTTTCCACGGATGCTGTGGGAAAAGGCCACGATGGGGAGAGGACCTCCCACATCCACGCGGTGGAGGCTGCCTGTCAAGGCCTCACCCCAGGCTCGGAGATGTGGTGGCCACAAGACAGCTTTTCCTTCCTTCCTGTGCCAGTTCCCCTCTTTGCTATCCTGGGTGACTGGCTGGGTGGCAGGTGGAAGAGTTGGGCAGCCCAGCTGCAGGGGCGGGGGCACCAGGCTAAGGTCTGGCTTTAACCTGCTCTGCCAGCTGATGTTGGCCGGGTGTGGGCCACGGCCGCCCCTGAGAGCCTGTTTCCCCGTGTCTTCATGTGTTGGTGGCTAGATGCTGACTGGGCACAGCCCCCACACACGGAGAGCACGTCCATGACAGATTCACATAAAGAGCCTTCACAAAACATTTGTAAATGCTTTGGCTTGAGGCCATATAAAACAGGTTCTGTGACTATTTCATAGTGAGCCGCTGCCCCGGGAGCAGAATACCCAAGTTAAACATCGAATTTAATTTTTTGAGTAGGTAATGTTTTCTCCTGGTTCATTTGTCGTGATGTTATGAAAAGGTTTGTTTTGAGAATTTCTGTTCCCATTCCTTTCTTCATCTGCCTCATTCTCCCACCCTGCCATGCGTAATCATTTTTATCATTTCTGTGTGTAAGCTTCCAGCTTTTATTTGTATAAATACAAGCAACTACAAGTTTATTTCTATTTATTTTGTATATTATGTATATAACTTACATATATAATTTATGTGTATAGTCCCTCTCCTCTTACATAAAAAGTAACATTCTGTCTCCACTTTTCTGCACCTTGCATGTTTCCCTTACTAGCACATTCCACAGGGCTTTTTGTACAGGGACTGTGTCCTTCATTGCGGTGTGTGGTGTCTGAGCACCACAGGGCGATGGAGGAGATGGAGGAGCACCCACAGCTGGTTTCACAGTCGGTGGCTGCGGGAGCTTACATAGGAACAGCCCTTTCCCTGTGGCTCCCCTTCCATGGGATTCCTTCCCTCATCACTCTCTGAGGAGCTGGCAAGGATGCCCTTGTCTTGTTCCAGCTCTCCATAGCTCCGTGCTTTCACCGTTACTCCTGCTTCCGCTGGCTGCGTGACGGAGGTGTGTTCCAGCCCTCGTCGTTTCCTGCAGGGCCTCTTTCTGGGGTTGGACGTGTGTAACAGCAGTCCTGACACTCATTTACTCTTCGCGGCTGTTTCGTAGCTCTTGGTGTTAGAGGGCTTGTGGAGGCCGGCGGGCATCCGGAGGCTTTCCGCACCTGTCTGTCTGTCCCAGCAGGGACAGGGGAGCTGGGCCCAATTCCAGGTCTTGGCAAAGACCTTCCCATGTTCTAGTTGGGGTCAGAAGTTGAAAGGGTCTGCCAGGAGCCCCTCTGATTAAGAGTCCCCCTCTCCCTTCGTCTTCTTATCCCCCTCTCCTGAGCTATTTGACTGTCAACTGTTTAGTTTTAGGCTTTGGCCTCAAACTTTTTATTATAGGAGTCAGCTCACCAGGGTATTCTGTGTTCTTTGTGGTTTATGGATGTGGTGGGCACATCCTGTGCCTTGCCGATTTACTTGTCCTGGGCCTCCATTTTTGTATTTGGGGTGTGGGTGACTTCCCTTTGAGTCTGGCAACAGTTTTTCCTACATCTCTCACTTGTGGGTTTCTTGGAGTTTCCCTCACGTTGCTACTTACTGAACTGCCGTGAGTCCCAGATTGAGGACCTTCCTCATGCTCTGACCTCCAGATTGTGAAATCAAGGATCCTCTAGAAATCAGTACAAGGCTCAATCCCCATTATGCAATAATTGGGACCAAAGTGGCTGTCTGTTTTATTAGTCAGTTGATGAATCCCTCTGAAAGCAAGTTGGGGCAATGAGTTGCTAACCCAATTGACATCTGTTTATAGGACTAGAATATCCTGTATGGCTCTTCTAATGTTAGGAAGCCAGGTGGTCTGGGGCAGGTTGCCCTGCAGAGCTGCGCGGTCATCAGCCTGCTGAGTTAGGAGAGGCGATGGAGAGGTGGTGACCATTCTCTGGAAACTGCGACAGGATGCCTGCAGCCCTGTGGCCAGCAAAAGGCATGGCTGGTGAGGGAGGAGCCAGGCCATCCTCCTGGGGCTGGGAATTGGGTTGTTTTTCAGGTGGTGGCAGCGGACCAGGGTGTACGTGGCTTAGAGCCACTTCGTGATGGGCAGGGCCTGGAGTGGCCATCCAGAGTGTGAGTGGTGGCCGGCCGCGGGCTCTTGTGGCTCTTCTTGGCATGGGGCATACTGTTTAGAGTCAAGGTTCCACTTCGCTGGAACTATTTTCGGAACCTTAAAGGATTTCTGGGGCTGACAACCCGTATATGGCCGTATATTCATTACTTTAGCAATTATGTCCTGAGCCCCATCCATGTGCCCTTGCCCATACTGGGCTCTAGTCCCCACCCATGTAGACATCCCTGTTTACCGTGTGCATGTGAGTGCTTGTGGGCAGGAACCATTCTCTTTCCTTCACTGCAGTGTCTCTGAAAATGTTTGAGACTGCAGTTACTGGTAAATATGGGAGACTTTTTGCATTGTGTCCCTGGGGTGGGGGCCACACACCCATTTGGCAGCTCTGTGTTCCAGAGTATATGTTCTTCGTTTGACAGTCCTGGGAGAGAGGCCTCACTTGCTGGTTTCTTCCCTTTTTCCTGTTGGACACCCTGTGTCACAGTCTCTCCCCTGTCCCCAAAGCCAATATTCAGGGATACTTCTGGAAAGAGTTCAGTGGGTGCCCTTGTGGCTCTGGGCTATGTAAAGGAGGGAGGCCTGTGACCCGCGGGGTCTTAGGGACAGCTGCCTTGGGGATCATTTACTAGGTGTCTGGAGGGCCCCAGGCCAGCAGTGGCCAGGGGTGGAGGGGACACTTGACTGTTGGGAACAGCTTTTCTTCAGGACTGTGAAGTGGGTGTTATGATCTTTGGCTCTTTTTTCCTAGTGACACAAAACAAGGGACACTTGGTGCTGGTGGATTCATGCCCTTTGGATTCTCTGGTGTCCTGTCTGGGGCAGCGACGTGCTTCTATGCCTTTGTGGGCTTTGACTGCATCGCCACGACAGGTACGGCTCCCGCCCGCCCGCTGGACGGGTCCTCCTCCCTCGTCAGACAGGCTGGGCTAATTTGACCCAGGGGTACTGTTTTCCTTCCTGTGGGGCTGTGCCAGCTGCTGCTCTTTCACACGTGAGTAACATGTAGATTTGTAGCTTCCTGCTAATCTTTCCCCCCTTTATCACTTCCCCAAGTGGCAGTGCCTGGCAGGAAAGCCTGCATCACGAACGTGACTAACTGGTGTGCTGCTAGGACAGGATAATGACAGCGTCGCTCAGCCCGATTTCATATCTGGGCGTCATCCGGGAGAAACGAGGCCATTAAAAATATTGTTATCCGGGTGATTGAATAGGCTGGGCTCAGTCGGGCCTCCTGAATTTTCTCTGCCAAAGGAAACAAGTCTTTTCCTTGGCTGAACCAGGGCCTAGAGGCCGAGAACACCCTCCCTGGGCACTATGGGTTCTCTGATCCATGCTTGGAGGGCCACCCATGGTTCCTAGAAGCCCGAAGACCCCGGTTCCCATGGGGCTGAGCACGTCAGGGGTGTCATTTGTGGGTGGCGTGGGCATCTTGTGGGGCTGGGGGGTTGATCCTCACTGTCTTGCCCTCCTGGGCCCTATTCTTTGCTGCTTCTAGGTGAAGAGGTCAAGAACCCTCAGAAGGCGATCCCCGTGGGGATTGTCGCGTCCCTCCTAATTTGCTTCATCGCTTACTTCGGGGTGTCGGCTGCCCTCACGCTCATGATGCCATACTTCTGCCTGGACAAGGACAGTCCCCTGCCCGATGCCTTCAAGTATGTGGGCTGGGAAGGTGCTAAGTACGCGGTGGCCGTCGGCTCCCTCTGCGCTCTTTCCACCAGGTGAGGCCTCCAAAGCTCTCGGGAGGGTGAGAGGTGGTGGGCTGTGTGCGGCCTGACACACAGGCGTGCTGCTAATCTCGCTTTTTTCCCCCAAAGAGCCAGCACCTCAACCCTGATGAGGTGGTTTCTCCTCCTGCTGTTAGCAGCCATCCCGCAAGTTGTTCTTGGTACTTTCACCCTGAAGACTCTGAGGCCTACTTTCTGACATCTGCTCAGCAAGGGTCTGGCTTGCTGTCCCCAGCCTTGGCCCCTACAGCAGGCCACCTCTTTGAACACTGTGTTTTGGCCCTTAGTTTGGTCATAAAGCAGAGGCTGCCTTAAAAAAGGGAATTAATGCCATTTTTTTTTTAAAGATTTTATTTATTTATTTGAGAGAGGCACTAAGAGTGAGAAAGCACAAGCATAGCGGGAGGGGCAGAAGGAGAAGGAGAAGCAGGCTCCCCACTGAGTGGGGAGCCCGAATCGGGGCTCGATCCTAGGACCCTGGGATCCTGACCTGAGGCGAAGGCAGATGCTTAGCTGACTGAGCCCTCCAGATGGCCAGGTTAAAGTGGCTTTGAATAAGAAACATTTTGCCCCTGATGTTTGCTATTAGCCTGCACATACAGGAAATGTTTGCTAGTCGTTGATTTACCACAGAGAAATCCTCATGAGCCCAGTGAGGCTTTTATTTTCTGTTTGATTTAGCTAGAAATACTGTGGGAATAAATACAAAATTTTCTTTGCCTAAGAACTATGACTAGATTCCATGCATGTTTGTTAGGTTAAGCTGTTCTTTCACTGAGCACATACAGTAAGTGCTTTTTCTGGGATTGATGCAATGAATTTTGTCTGCCAGTCATGGGCTTCCCCTAGTTTGGAGGGTGGCAGTTCTTGGTGAGGAGTTCAGGGCAGCATGGTTTACCACATAATGATCATGTTAGGATGCCTTTCTACCAGATGGGATAGTGTTACATGTGCATTTTGCCTTTCCCTCCCATCCAGTCTTTTAGGTTCCATGTTTCCCATGCCTCGAGTCATCTATGCCATGGCTGAAGATGGACTGCTATTTAAATTTTTGGCCAAAATCAACGATAGGACCAAAACACCAATAATTGCCACGTTGACCTCAGGTGCCATTGCTGGTAAGGACTGGAACTAATCCCACCTGCCAGTATTTTAACAGTTGAGTTACTGCTAGTCCCTAGGGAAATACCTTAAATTGTGCTGGTCTGTGAGAAGTTAGAACTGGTCTTCTTAACTTTTGGTTTTCACCCTTGGAACCTGATTTCCTACAAGATAGCCACCCTTTTGACTAAAGGCAGAGGCCAGTTTTACAGAGGCTGGGATGGAATTCTCAAAAATGTTTGACTCCTTTTATTATGATTACCCTCTCATTGGACAGAGCTTGGAACGCACACTATCCCTACAGAGCCACTTGTGTTTCCTGTTTTCTGAACGTTCCTCAGTAGACTGGTGGGATGCCATCTTCTTGCATGGTAACAAGCCGAAAGACTGTTTAGTTAGTACTGGAAGTTCATTCTCCGTGTCTCTTAGCCTGTGGATCCTCAGGGTAATGAGAAGCCCTTAAGATCAGTGTTTTAGGAAATGTGCTACCTGTTCTCCAGGAGACATCGGGTGTGTTGCTGGGGAGGCCGATTGCTGTAAGTTTATAAATAATGGCAGGCTTAGAGGAGATTTATCTTACCAAGTATCAGGTTCCCCACCAAGAGGACGGTTTTGACAGCTGAAATCCGTACACAAAGAACCTTGGGGCTATGTGATATTCCAGGGGCCCCTGATTAAGAAAAGGCGAGCATCGAAGGACTGTGCTATTGGTTTTCTATATTTTCTCCTCCAATAATTGCTTCTCCCAGCCCCAAGAGACAGTCATTATCCAGCCTGTTGTGCAGAGAGGTGAAGTGAGGGGGTATACCCACACCCAGGAGACCTGGCTCTCGGTTCCTGATTTGTTTTTATGCCAAAGTGGATGGCTCCTTTCAGGGTCTTTTTGGGATATTAGGACATACGATACCAGTTCACCCTCTGTACCACAGGGACTAGTCAAATAGCCACTGGTAAGACATTTGACCATCTTAAATGAATGGATTATTGTTGTTAGTATCTACCCCTTTAGCAAAGTGTGTTTAGGATTGTGGATTAATGTCACATAATGAAAGAAAGCTAGTTTTTCATTATTTAACAAATTTGTTGTGTAATTGTACATTCTTGACCATGATCTCAATGGTCAGGTTAAGGGACACCATATGTCAGAATATGACCAATATATTTAAAAGATGAAGAACGGGAACTAGTTAATGTTCTTTCAGGATTTACATGTAATTTGATCATATTAAAGACTGGCCTTTAATTCCCTTCCGGTGCTGATCAGGGGAGCTCAAACTATAATCTTTAAAGTGACTGTAAAATACGTGCATTCACCAAACCAGGATTTACTCTTTCTTTTCATTCGGCAGGAGTGGTCAATGGGTATTTGGTATTCTGAAATCAACCCACATGGAAAAAGTCTGGCTGGAGTTTCTTTGTGGGTGGGGACATAGGCATCTGCAGCCTGCACAGCTGGACACTGTTCTGACTATCCAGAAGGCCCGGCATTGCTCTTTGATCCTGTTATCTACCCTCAATGTAAATTTGTTTTAGTTGGACTAGTCCGTAGGGGCTTGAGAAATATTTGTGGAAAAGGAATGGTTTTGTGTTTCTGTTTTAACTTGTGTTGATTGCCTGTGACTTGAAAATATCCCAAAGTAGATCTATCCAAGTTGTTTAAATGGGAAACGGGACAAGTGTACCCATATAAATAGAGAGATAGACTCTCATAAAAATTACAAAAGATTTTCAAATAAGCATGCATGTTGTAGATTTTTATAAATGGGGTTGTGGTAGAGGTACCAGTATTGTTTGGAAATAGCACTGCTTTCCATACTCAGCTGTCTGGGTTAGGAGCCCCTGTGGATCCTCCCAGAGCACTGGACTTGACCTCATCCACCTGCTCATCACTGTTGCCTACTGATGCCTGTGTTGGATGATATACTCGGGGAAGCTGGAGACTCTCTGGTCTGCCCAGTTTGATGGTGTACATCTTTGCTGGGGTGCACTGACCAGCATATTCTCAGTGAGTGCCAGATGGATGATGAACGAGTGGGTAGGTGATGGCCGAATGGATGGATGGGCGATGGGTGATGGATGGACAGAGGATGGATTGATCCATGGATGACGGGCGGATGGTGTGTGGGTAGATGGATAGATACACGTAACTGTCTATGAGTCTATGCAGTGCAGAGAAAGACGCACTGGGCTCCGCCACAAGAATCTAGTTGAGATCCTGACTTTTCCACTTCCTAGCTGCGTGACCTTTGATAAGTCTTCCAACATGTCTGACTTCAGTTTCTCTATCATAGTGTAGTGATAGCTTGCAGAGTTGCCATGACGATCAAGAAAGGTCATGTTCATGGACGTGCTCTTCGTATAAATGTTAATTATTGTTACTGTCTGCTGAGGACTGTTAATATGATTTAATCCTGAGCATTTCTTCTCTTTAAGCAATGTCGTCACAGTGTCTTTCCATGGAAAGGGCTGGGGTGAGGAAGCAAATAAAAGCAGCTCCCCCTGTATACCCTGGATCGTGGGTGGGTGGTGGTTCTGGCTATCCGTGATCGTGGGCCATCTGTGGATCCTGATGCTTGTCTCCTCCTCAGCTATGATGGCCTTTCTCTTTGACCTGAAGGACTTGGTGGACCTCATGTCGATTGGCACTCTCCTGGCTTACTCTTTGGTGGCTGCCTGTGTGTTGGTCTTACGGTATGTATGGCTTTTCTGGATTCCATGATAGATAGTGAAGATGTACCCTGTTAGACTTTTAAAAGTTCAGGTTAATGATTTATAAGGTGTAATTTCAGGTTCTTGTTAGTTCCTTTGGGAACTGCCCTAGAGAGTGTGGGATTTGGTGGTTGAGAGTCTAGTCACAGAAAACATCACTGAAAAGAGTCAGGGGGCTCACCTTTCACTATCACGTGCCCTCATTTTTCTGGCAGGATGTTAGGAGGAGGGAGGTGACAGGTTCTCAGTCTAACTGTTGGGCCTGGTACAGGGAACAGAATTTTTGAAGGCTTAGGGTAATGATTTCAGTTTGGTCCAGGTTCTTAGCTTGGAGGGTTCTGGGGACTAATCCTGGTGGGAATTGGGAGAATCCTTGTGTGATTCTTAGGGCAGTGCTGTCCTATAGCAACACCGCAAGCTGCCCCAAGAGGAGTCAGTCCCAGTACGTGGCATTGAGTGGCCAAGGTGAATGTTGAGCAAGACTTCCCAGGCGCTGGCCATGTCAGCCTTGTGGACGCTGGGCCAACCCCCTGGATGGCCGAGGTAAAGCAGTTCAGGGCCTAGGAGTGGTGCCCTGTGTTCTCAGCTCCCTCAGTGTCCCCCTTCCCAGGCACAGCCCTGGGCTCCAGTTGTCCTTTGCTCTGAAAGGACAGGGTTCTGCTTCCTCACTACCAGGAAAGGCTCAAGGGAGCATTTATCATGAGAATATGGAGTCATGGAGACTCTGTGTTGGTCACCTGGGAAAAGCCTCATTACTTCTTTTCGGGCATTTATACTGGCAAGGTCATTTATTCCATTTGTCCCATTTCAAGTATGCTTAGCACCTACTCTGTGTAAAACTTGGGCTGACCCTCAGCCGTGGCCATGTAGCATTGGCTAAAACTAGTTTGCTAGTTCTGTGACCGTTTATTCCGTCCTGAGGGCTCAGCCCTGGAGTCTTCTCTGAGGTTCTCCTTACACTCTCATTTGACCAAATGATGTTGACATAAGTGAATCAGTAAAATATGGTTAAATACCTTTATGCTCACACTTAGATTAGATGCAAAATAATTCAGAAGCACTCTGGTTTTCGTCACTGGTAGAAAAGATTGGAGCTCTCTTCATTTTGGGTGGGAAGATAAGGAGCCTCATTTAAAATGAATGCTTTACTTGCAGGAAGCTTATGCCTTGGAAATCATGCCACAGGCCCAGTCTTTCGGCCAGCTCTGTAAAGTTGTTTATTCTAAGCCATTTGGAGTTTTAAAATAAATTGATCCAATTAAGTCTCACAAAGAGAATTTCTCAAATCCATCAGCTTGCCGACACATTTCTCTGGCTCTTGGCACCAAACAGGATCCTAATGTCACAGCTTTCTATTTCTGTTTGTACTTTTAGCTCCCTTCAGCCATAGTTTTGTTGGAAGTGGCCAAATATTATAAGCATGCAAGGGCCAGTACTACTACTCAGAGCAAGGGAAACCATCTCAGGATATTTCTTTGGGTTAGTTCATGGGGAAGGTCAAGTTGTCTCAAATTGAGACCCCAAGGAGGAAGGTATTGCCCAGAAGCAGAAACAGAAAGAAGCCAAGGACTCAGGTCTCCTCCTCTGTATCTACTTTGCCAGAGAATGCATCGTTGTGACCATCCTCTTCCCATTTTATGCCTTGTGTCCTGGGCAACTTACCTTTGAAAGCTTACTAAGAACTTGAGTCAGTATGTATCCTTTTGCCCAATGAAAGCACATTTTGATGGTCACACAATACCTTTCTTTACAGGTATCAGCCAGAGCAACCTAATATGGTATACCAGATGGCCAGAACTACCGACGAGCTCGATCAAGTGGACCAGAATGAATTGGTGAGCACCAGTGATTCCCAGACAGGCTTTTTACCAGAAGCAGAACGGTTTTCTTTGAAAACCATACTCTCACCCAAAAATATGGAGCCTTCCAAATTCTCCGGGCTAATTGTGAACATTTCAACCAGCCTCATAGGTAAGAGCCTGCCCTTCCCTGTAAGGTGTTTGGGGTCCTGCTTGTTGGTATTGCAGGGTTTCTTGTCCCGGGTGGTGGAGGCAAGTGCTGGAAGGGATAGAGATAAGCATCTGTCTTGCTACTGGACTGTGATGTCAGCTACTCTGCCCTTACCGTAATTGATGGCTGCAGAAATGGAGCCTCCCTCTCCATGGGTTTTGGGGCTATCTGTGGGGATCTGAGAAAAGATTGAATTGCACCCCTCTCTCCCTCCTTCTTAGCAATTCTTATCCTCACCATCTGCATTGTTGCCGTGCTCGGAAAGGAGGCTCTGACAAAAGCGGAGTTGTGGGCCATCTTTGTGCTTGCTGGATCTGTCCTCCTCTGCTCCCTGGTTACCATCATCATCTGGAGGCAGCCTGAGAGCAAGACCAAGCTTTCATTTAAGGTGAGCAGCTCTGCCTGCAGGGAACCTCCTGGTAGGCTCTGTGGTAGGTGCCCCAGATTCCAGCCCTCCTGCACCCTGCGTGAGCTCTGCCAGGCCAGGCTGTCTGGAGCAGAGGGGCTGGCTGGCCAGCCCCAGGGACAATGAGTGGGGACCCGACCCTGGAAGAAGGCACCCCTCCCTGCCATAGCTCTTAGGTGTCAATGATGCAGCTCACTGCTGGGGTAGCTCACATGTGTCCATCTAACGTATGTGTCTGGCGCATTGCATTACCCAGCCTTGGAGGTGACTGAGGTGTCTGCATTTTAGCTTACACAAGTAATGAAGTAGTTCAGTGTTGGAGATAAAGGAGGAGTCCCTCTTCTAGCCCCTTCTTAAACAGGAGATTAGCAAGAGGGGAAAATTAGAGTAGAGTGCATGTTGGCACTTGGTAGCCTAGAACCAAACCCCCACCTATTAGAGTTTGCCGGTGCAGGGGTGCGGCTATGCATATGTGTGTGGGTTGGGGTGCGCTCACCTTCTTCTCCCCATGTAAAGAGTGCAGTTCATCTGTCTCAGGGGTGGGGGCTTTTCTTAGGGCGTTTTTTGCTAAATGACTCAAAGGTGCTGCCCCCTGCATTCCACCCCTACAGACTTGACAACGCGCCCCCCTCACCCCACTCTCTTTGCAGGTGCCCTTCCTGCCGCTACTTCCCGTCCTGAGCATCTTTGTGAACGTCTATCTCATGATGCAGCTGGACCAAGGCACATGGGTCCGGTTTGCAGTGTGGATGCTGATAGGTATGTGAAGTCAGGGTTTCACTGTGATGGCCTCTCTCGGAGGCCCCTCTGCCCCAGGCCCCGAGCCTGTCTATGCTGATCATTTGTCTTTTCTACAACTTGTGCCTCTTGTCACTGAGCCTCTCTCATTTCCAATCTCAAAGCATAATGAAAACACATGTAGTCAGGGGTTTTCCCTCAATGAGGAGCTCTTGTACATCGTGGGTCTCCCCTCCCTTTCAGATACTTTTCATTTTAATTGCTCTTGACTGAGCTAGTTATGTCATGGCAAGAGCTGAAGGTAACAAGAATAAGGCGATGGTCTGCTGTTGACAAAGCACCAGTCTATCTCCCTGGATCATGACCCTCCCCAGCCCAGCAAGCCCCTGCCCCACTGGCCCATGTGGGAGGTTTGGGGTCACCGTTTGGGTGCTGGCCCTGTTGTAGGTCACCCGTGGCCTGCCCCCTACCTGGGTATCCAACCCCAGGAAATGGACTCAGGCTCCTTCCTCAGTGCTGGTGACCAAGGAGCTTGCCTCTCACCCTCAGTGTTGGTGACAAGAGCTGTAACGCCAGGACTTTGTTTCTGCCAAAGCCTCCGCCCTGGGTCACCACACTTAGGGGCAGATAGCTGCCACCTGGAGATCCTTCTCTGCAGACCTCACATTGTCTGCAAAGTGTGGCCTGCAGCTGGTTGGACAGACGTCCCCTGTCGAGCCTTCCTGTGGGAGAGCTGGTCAGCATGTGCGGTCGTGTGTGATCAGCACACATTCCCCCACACTGCAGGGTGAGGCGCTCATTCCCCCGCGAGGGTGGAGGACCCCTGTTTCTAAGCATACCAGATGTGAGTCCTGGGCTCCAAGCCGTTAGCTTAGTTCCAGGGCTTTGAGGCCTGCCCTCCTTATGTCTCTGGCATGAAGGTTGCCTCAGGGCCAGACAACCGTAGTGCTTGAGTGGATGGTTAGAAGCTCAGATCTCTGGGCCCCACCAAGGGACCTCTGGAGTCCTGGACACCAGAATGGACTGAACTCCTGTGTTACACACGCTTGCAGGCAACTTGAATGCCGCCTCCTATCTGACAGTCGCATATGTAGAGAAAACAGAGACAGTGGGCCTCCGGAGGCCGTGCGAACAGCCTGGGGAGCCGTGATGCCCGTTGGAAATCCCACCCTGGCAGGGAGCAGCACGGGCCCACCAGCGGCCCCAGGGCACAAGCCGGGTAGTGAGTAGATGAAGCTGCAGGAACAGCACCTGTCCCGGGGCCCCCAGCCTAGCTGCGCCCCTGCTCAGGATCCAGCCCCGTGTGAGGCTCTCCAGAAGGGCGTCTGCCCGTGCTGCATGTAGAGGTGGGAGAGCCGCTTTTGCAGATGTTAGTCAAAGTCGTGTCATTTCTCTGAGGGCAGAAAGTTTGCCCAGATTCAGGCCCAGGACAGGCAGCGTGGAGAGACTTTCCTGGGTGGACTCCTCCACCGGCTGTGCTCACATGCGCACTCTGCTCTCGGCCTGCAGGCTTCATCATCTATTTTGGTTATGGTTTGTGGCACAGCGAGGAGGCGTCCCTGGCCGCCGACCAAGCAAGGACTCCTGATGGCAATTTGGACCATTGCAAGTGACACGCAGCCCCTCCCTCAGAGGTGACCGCAACCCCGAGGGATGCCCGCAGAGGTCCTGGGAGCACCTCACTCTGTCCACCAGTGCGTCAGGACCCACCCACATCTACACAGCCCCAATGCAGCAGACGCTGCAGCTACCTGAAACGCAGCCTTAGCCCGCAGCCCGTGTGTCCTGCTTAGACTCGCTCCGCAGCAGGTGCACGAGGGCCCGTCACCTCGGACAGCTCCCCAGCAGGGGCCGCTTGGCCACAGCTAGCCACCGCGGCTCCTAACATCCTCCTGAACACAGAAAGCGGCCCCCGTCCTCTCCAGCTCCGTGTGCATGCTGCTGTGTGCTCAGGCAGAATGGAGGTCACGGTTTCTTGTCACCTTGGGAATCCAGGCCTCCCTCCCTGGGGACCATTCTAGTATTAAACATGTGCGCACTCCAGACTCTCCATAGCCATCTCCCCACACGGCCCCCAAGGCCGGCCGCAGAGGCAAGGTGAGTACTCCAAAACACACGTCCCCAGCAGTCTTGCCCCTGGAGCCGAAGGACAGCAGTTTACTTTAAAAAGGAAAAGCAAGACTGGTTTCCTTCTCCCACTCCTGTTCCCTGCGTTGCTTCCAGAAGAGGTCAGGAGGACTGTGAGCTCTCCCCTCCTTCCCCTTCCAGGCAGGGGTTCACTGCTTCACCGGACAGCCCCGCACACTCCAGCGGTGCTGAGGGCAGGCGTTTCCATCACTGACAAGGAGGAAGGGAGCGCCGCTGTGGGGACGAGGCAGCAGGACCAAGGCAGGGCCGCCTCTACTCCTGGTGCCCAAGTGTGGGGACCTCCCCAGCCACACTCTGTCTCTCTCCAGGCCCCAGGCCGGTTCTGGCTGCTCGCCAGCAACTGTGTGTCCCAAGCAACTGGAGTGTGGCACTGCATTCCTGTGGGACTGGCCTTAGATTAGTAGAGCTTAGAATGCTGTATTCTGTGGGTCTTTGCCAATCACTAAATCCTGCCCTCTGATGCTTGTGGGTTAGCATCTCGAGTTTTGTAAGGTTCTCAAGGCAGGTGTCCACTCATTCTGAGGTGACCGTGGCCAGCCCCCCTCGCTGCTTCTGGTCCCAGCATGATCTGTTTGGCTCCTCCTTAGATAGAATCAAAACCGAGTCCTCCGTTAGCATCTGCGAATCACTCCAAATTAAGTTGGCACTTAGTGTTAACTTGGAAAATGACCAAATATTTCCTCAGTGTGTTGTTGGGAGCATGGGGTCTGCACATGAGAATGTGGGGGTCATACTGCTGTCCAAGCGTTGTGGGTTTGTATCTGGATCGTAACCTGGCCCCGGACCCCCTGCCTCTGTCAGTCACAGAGCCAGCTTGGGTCCCTGCACACGGCGTGCTCCCTCCTCGGACCCTGCAGCACCCCACGCTCTCACCCACTCTGTGGAGAGGAGCCCAAGGAAACAAGAATGCTGACGCGGTCTTCCTTCCCATGAGAACGTGACTTGGGAGACAAAAGGGCCTCCCCTGAACGGGAGGGGAGGGAGGAAGGCATGTGGGCACCCCAGAAAATGTAAATGCTGCTTTGAAGCTCAGACTCCCACTTCTTCCCCCTTGTCCGACCTTGACACAAATCTGCTAGAAATAAGCCTGGTAAATTGACAGCACTTGTCTGATCTCCCTCAGTAGGTTCGGAGAGAATTGCAAGAATTTGTGGGCCAGCCAAATGACAGGGTCGGTCAGTGGAGGGCTGGTGGGCCGGTGGTAAGAGCTTGGCCTCTGCCCCAGGCCCTGATCACCTGCCTGGAAGCTTTATTCTAACTATCATTTGTGAATGTTACAGAGGGAGGAGCATAAGGGCTCAGAGCATGGGTTTCCAAAGAAAGGTATTTAAATTTATGTAGATTGGTGCTGTATAATATTCTGATAAATATTAATTTATTTCATGGGGTTTTGGTCGTCTGCTGTCTTCTTAGAATTTGTTAGCTATTTGTTTGCTTGATTTGTCTGTTACTTTCCCACATAGGCAAAGAGAACTTGAGGGAAAGGTAATATCTGAGAAAAGTGTAGAGGAGAGAGAGAAAAAAAAAATTTTTTTTTTTACTTTGATATCTCTTTCTGGCTGAAATTTCTGTGCAAGACAGCAGGCAATAGACTGTATACAGATGACATTTCAGCTGGCAACATGTCTCCTTCTGCTGAATGACAAGGTGTGTTCGCTGATGCCATCCCACAGAATGCGAAGCTCCTGGAGTGGGAGGGTCCTCCTTCTTCACCCCGAAGTGGGAAGTGCCTCCAGAAGGCTCGGAAAAGGACACCTGAAGGTTCAGCAGAGAAATAGTTGTCATGGTCACTGTGCTTTTATGGAGACTGACTTCCGTTCAGTTGCCAGGGGTTTTTTCTTCTGTATATGAGGGCGGTAATGTAAGGAATGATGTTTAGGGTCAGTCTCCCCAGTGCTGTTAGGCTTTTTCTTATCCTTCATTCCTTCCCCAGAAATAAACACACAAGCGCGCTGGGGCACGCACACACACAGGTAAGAAATAACCACCAAAAATGCCCAACAATTGGCCTCCCTACCCCCCAAGCGAGAATATGATTATCAGTTTCATGGCTTGGCCAGTATTTTCTACACCATCAGAAATTCCACACTTCTAGAGACATGCCCTTTGGAAATGTCGTGTCTCCTTTTATCTGTGGCCCGGTCGCAAATAGCCACATTGGAAAGACCCATTTGTGTCAAATAAGCACCCCTTCCTGCCTCCCGAAGTGCCCTCTGCCCTCCCTGTCTTTGTGACCCCATGAAGACTCACAGAGAAGCCAACAGCGGGGCCCCAGGACCTCTCCTGAAGATTGAGGAGTGTGAGGGGTCTCCAGGGAAGCAGTCAGACCCCGTGGGCCAGTGAGGCCAAGCCTGCTTCCTGGAGGGGGCCTTGTGCAGGAGATGGGGCCTCTGCACTCCCCTCACCACACCCCACCAGCTCACACCCCTTCCACCCAACTTGGGGCTTGATTTGTTTTTCCAAACCTGTAAGAGTAGATAGGGCCATTTTTCCTAGGGTGTTTTGGAAAGATTCGAAATCAATACTGTTGTCAGAACCTCTCCCCTCCAGCTCCCCCACCTGTGGTTTGGAACCACTGAGTCATCTCTCTTAAGAGATTGGCCTCCTGGTCCTGTGTGCTGGTGCTGTGGTTTGGCTATCACAGGCTGCCTGCCTGCTGTGTGTGCGCTCTGAGGGCTTCAGGCGCCCCCAGCTCTTGAGACTCTGGCACACCCCCTTCTGTACATTTGGCATAGCCTGTGTGTGCACTGAGGCGCCTGGCCCTTGCTTGTTGGGCTTCATGCATGGCAGTAGGCATGAACTGGGTTACATACCCTCCTCGCGCCACCCAGCGAGTGTTCGGAGCTGACTGAGTTCTGCAGTCTGTGTGGGATGGTCTCTAGCCTAACACCAACCACGGCTGTGAGTCCAGGGTCCGAGGGTGGGTTCCTTGGGTGAGTGTGGACATGCCTCAGAACGGCCCCAGCCAGAGTATAGACGGACTCACAGGCATTTTGGGGCCATCACCAGGAGAGGACACCTGCCGGCTCTGTGCCAGGACCGTCTTCTGATCTGCGTGTCTCACTTGTATACATCTCATCAAAGCTGATTGTCCTGTTGGCACCCAAAAGCCATGATCACCAAGATGGGAGTGAGGCATCTTCATGCCAGGCCCTGTCGCCGATGTGTTCTAGCGCGGACAGAGATATGTGTCTGCAGGCCTGTCCGCACTCTGCTGGCCATAGGTGTGCAACATTTGTATGCCTGTGTGTGGAACTGTTACAAAGTTCCTGGCAGATGGAACTAAATATATGCTATGTATGGTTGTTCTGTATAACTTAAGATACATGTTTGACATCATAATGAGAGTATTATATGTAAGGCTCTTCAGGGAGAGTGAGATAGACATTTTGTCAGACTCCTATGGACTTTTTTTTGGTAATGAAATGATTTATTGATCCAGTGGTGCAAGAAGCTACACTCCGTATTTCATCATCATAGTTATAATACCTGATGGGTTTTTACGGCAAAAGAAAAAAAAAATGTCAACTGACTTTGATATTCGTCACTATAATCCAGAGTCTTTCTGTGCCCGTTGCTTCATTGAGCAGCAGTGCTCTTTTGAGTGGGACACAGACCGGCCAAGGGCCTTAGGGCACAGTAATCGAGGAACCCCCTCCCCCTGACCCCGATAGCCCTGTAAGTGTGTGGAACTGCCGGCTGAAAAACCCCCATGAGATCAAGACCTTGGCTGTGAAGTCCAGCAAATTGATCTTCTCAGGGTATGAGCAGGGTCAGGAAGCAGGGCTAGGAAGATACGCTTTGACTTTGTTAATTAATTAATAAGGTATATGATGTTGTGTTTCTCGATGACAAACTTTTTTAAGTTTGGGACTTATTTTCGATTTGAGAAGTTGTAATATATATTTAAAGTAAGTTTCCCGCTTAAGTTGTGCCTTCCAGCATCGATGGGTCTAAAGCATGGGGTGATGATCCCAGTGAGGGCTGATTTATTATCAAACCCACAGAGCTGTGGTTTCTCCAGTAAACTTTTTCTTCTACTGAACATGGAGCCATTATTAAAAGAATTATGTTTCTTATTATGTAAATTGTATAATATTTTTGCTTGTTTGATGTCCTATTTTTCTAATAGTTTTCTTATAGTTTCTTATAATTGTAATACTAGATTTAGAATCTGATGCCCACTGCAAACCAGGCTGTCTCTGCTGGCCTCTCCTGTTTTTATTTTAAAGACAAGCATCGATGTCCATCACCTTAAGAAAATGTGAAATTCTGCTTTGTATCCCATTTTTGCTGACAACACTGTATGTTGACAACTTCCTACTATATGTTGTAAAATCAAATTATTTTGTGGTACAGTATCTCATGCTTCTTCCAACTCTAATAAATTCTATGGCTTTGGCATGCACAGTGTGATCTCAAGACTCCCCCCGGTAGGGTCCCCAAGCTTGGCAGCACCTCACAGAGAGTTCCAGATCCTGTCCTTCGCTTCTTTAGCATCCTCTGTTTCTCCATAGCCCGATGTTGTAATGTTTCGTTGGCCTTGGGGCATTTGGTGCAAATACTCATTCCAAGGTCCAGTCCCTCAACAAGGGAATCCCCCAGCCCTCAGTTTAGGATCCTCTCATGCCATCTCCCCACCTCCCACTCCTTCCAGACTTGGCTTGGGTTTGAGCGGGGCTGCTTTGCACCCAGATTGCTGCCCCCCAGGAGCATAAAGCCACTCATCCGCCGAAGCCCTTGGGGCCCAAGCGCCAGCCGCCTCGCACCACGTACACCTCAGCCCTGCCCTTCCCTCTGCGCACATAGTCTGTCTGGGAGGATGGGGTCGGGGAAGGGTTGCAGCTGTCCCTGGGATTGCCTCTCTCCCGCATCCCCTCCATCCCCCGGGAAGGAAGCCTTTTCTTGGACAGGAGGCCGACTCTGTCCAGGGGTCTTAACTCTCAGACGCTACCAAGCAGCGATTCAATGACCACAGGGGGAAGTTGGTTGCCAGCGGAAGGCAAGGCCCAACCTGGGCGTGTTCTCAGCAGACACCGGAGCCCTAGGAGAGCAGGGCAGGGGTAGCTGCGGCCCGGTTCGCACCAGGTTTACTCGAGAATCAGTGCAAGCCACCCCCCGCCCCTCACCGGCGCCGTCCTCCGCTTGTCACCAGGCCACAAAGCTAGGACTGTGTGCCGCCTCCCTGCTCCGCAGCAGCCAGAGTGTGCCCTGTGGCCCGGGCCGCGGGCTGACAGGAGGCGGACCCCCGCGAGCGATCGCTCCGCGAGAGGTCCTGCTGACAGCTTGCAGGCCCCGGTGAGCCGAGCGCGGGGTCCCCGGCCC